CATACAATAACACGCCGTATGGACGACGAAAGTAAAACCCCCATGTTAGTACTTAGATAGCCACCTAATAGTCCTTAACTGGACATAAAGGAGGATGTCGCTAGCATAGTTTTGCAAATTAGTTTTGACAAATTTGCCTGTAGCTAAAGTTTTAGTTAAAATAGGCTTTTTAAATCCAAAACTTTGTTTTTTAAAACAATGTACATGACAGTATTATGCTTAATCTTGCTCTGATGCCAGCTGTAACAGAACTGCCCAATTTATACAAGATCAAGTACGGCTGTCCCCGCTAACACGTTGACACACACATACTTTCACTTATATAAACCCGGTAGTCCGCCGAGTGTCCCAAAAGACCTCGGTAAATCAACATCACAACCAAGATCGCGTGATTAGGCAAATACACATCACATACACAGGGTTGCAGCGGAAATAATATTACATATGGGTTCACAAATAAAAGTACAAATTTGGGTTTTAAAACCGCTTAGTGCAAACAACATAGCTTTCAAATGATTACATTAATATAAGTTCCAAATATATTGCTAGCATAAGTGACATCATCCGACAAAAGCATATAGATGAGAAGTAACTATAGAATCACCGAGCCCACCGGCGGTTAGCCACCATCTTCAACAGGCCGAGAACTCCACCTGCAACATGGTGGGATAAACCCTGAGTACTCGAATGTACTCAGCCAGACTTACCCGTTGGAAACCAAAACAAATGACACCAAGGATCATGCATAGCTTAATTTAGTGGATCTGGCTGGACAACCTTTTTGCATAAAAGCTTGAGTAACCATTAGCATTATTCACCTGTACTAGCAGTGACTTTTAGCCATTACCTACCATCTATATTAGCACATGTACTAATCAATCACTTGATTAAGTTGCAAACAATAATAACCATATCAGGTATTTCATGGCTCATTGTCATTATCATCATCATCATTTAACCATATCTTTAAATTTAGTGAATCTACGTTGCCGCTGCTCAAGTCAAGTTCTCACTAACCGGGAGAGACGATGATTCGAATCGATTCATATCCAGCTGGAGGGGTATTCCTAAACACAAACCCTGCTTCCCCCGTCAGGGTCGCAAACAAGTCACCGTTGGTACGATTCTGGAGTCGCGAGTCCGAACAGATCGACATTCTCAGAGAACCACTCTGCCAAGGTTGTTTGGGACTCTAACCCGCCTTGGACTTATGCCAATGGCTCTCCGCACATCCTTACTACCTCCAGAATGCACGTCACTGCTCGCGTCCCCGGCCTGAGTCGAGCTACTAGGCTTCGTGGTCGGAACGACTTATCCGGTCAGTTAAGTGTTAGGCTACGTTCAACATGACCTGAGGACGTACAGCGAATCGGTCCTTAAATGACACAGACGGGGATAGATTCACACCCAAGACCTCCATGCCTTGTTGCTGCACTACCGTCATCCCGTCCGGTCTTCATTTATTATTAACACATGGTTCTTTTCCCATGATAGCAAATATAGCCAACCATGACCAGAGCTCATCCTACATCTCGCAGGTGACAGAAAATCACCCGACTTCTACCGGTCTATGCATAGCTAAGCATCATTCGATCCTACACTTAATTAGGATTCACAGGATTTTATCTGGACAAGGTAGGGATATAATGCAACAATTGGTTCCAACAAATTCCTATACTTAATGTATCATCAATAATAAAAGATACTCAAGATATTTGTAAAAATATGGGAGGCTTAGAATGCTCCGGGGCTTGCCTGGGATCCGACACAAGTCAGTTCAGTTAGCTTGCACCGACTTGGTGACATCTCCGGTCCTAGCACTTGCTTAGTCCTTCCATCTTCGGGATAGATCCACCAAACCCAATCTTCGAGTTCAGCTCCACATCACATCCTTCACGTGGTTCATCTAGCGTACCTAAATGAGATGCAAGATGCATGTGTATGAAGGTGATGAATGGTAACACAAGATGCATCACATAAGACAAACACAAGATTATGCAAGACATAGACACCAATAGCTATTTAACTAACATCACACAACTAACTATAGAGAGCAAGCACATCAAGCATGACACAAGTTTAACAAGGTCACAAGCATCATAACTTGACCATCAACAAGGGCATAAGCCACACTTAGCAACACATGGAGTAAACAACCACAACTTGCATGTCTATTTTAGGACTGGAAACAACAGCTTCATGTTTGGATCATAACTAGAGTTATACAAATCCAATAGCCATGCAACAAGACATTCTGGAAAGCTTATGGAATTTTCTACAATTCATCTTTAATAATCTTAGCATGATTCTAAAGTTAAGTGGGTCGAAATTATATATTTACAGAAACTGGTCCACAATTGACAGAGAGCAGTCATTTCTGAAACCCAACTTTAAACAAGCATAACTCACAAACCACAAGACCAAATACCACCAAATTTTAACAAAATCTAGATACATGAATTATCTACAACTTTTGTATAAACAAGTTTCACAACAAAGTACATTATCTTGAAGAACTTTGCTAAGTTCCCAGATCTGTCCATAAACCACATCGACAAGAAAATAATTGTTAACTTATGTTGCAAACACATAATTGAAAAAAAACAATTTTACCAACATTTCACACATGACTAAAGAACTCCAGAAAGCATGGTGCTCACCTCTAAATAAATTTTCTTAAAACATTTCTTAATTTATTTAGACATCAAGGTGTATTTATGAACATATACCAAAAATGCACAATAAATTCTACAAAAATTACAGTAGCTCATATATTCTCTCAATAGTCTACTGTACAAATTTCATACCATTTGCATAAGTATAGCTGCCTCTACAAAAAAGACAATTTGCTATTGTAAGAAATCATGTGAGAGCGAGATAAACCAATAACTCACTCATACTTCATCCAATACTCATGAAATTTTTACCACACATCAACTATCACATGAGTAGCATGCCACAAAAATTTCACTTCATTTGGAGCCATAGATCTGCGGTTATGGAAAATAACAAATTCAACTAGCATTACAACCTTACTGCACAAATCTATTTTTACCGCAAAATATTTAAACTAAAACATGTCATATTATAGATCTAGTACATAGAGAATTTCACAAGGATTCCAAAAAGTCCTCATTTGCTATTTTACGATTTTTCTACAAATTGCTACGAATTTTCAAAGTTGAGCATAGAAATCTGAAATTAATAGATTAAACCCAAAAAAACAAAAACATTTTGCATCGGGAATCCAGGAGTTTCCACAAATCAACCAAGCCCGGATTTGTAAATGTATGTGTCTGGCTATTTTGCAAAGTGAACATGGTAAAGAGTTTCTATTCGCATTTCACCCCTTCTTCACCATAGACCGAGCAGGTACGAGGACAGGCCGCCGTCGGGCGTTGGGGGCCGTCGTCGGGCCGGCTAGTGAGGGCTTCGGCTGGCTGGGGAGTGGCTCCAGCGGCCAAGGGGAAGGGCCACGGCAGCCAGCTTGGCGCAGCCAGCGGCAGGGGCTGGAGGTGGCTGGGCGCGGTGCCTGTTGGGCGGCCAGCCATGGCGGCCTCGCCGCGAGCAGCAGGGAGAGGAGGTAGAGAGCGAGAGGGCGAGGGAAGGAAGTGAGGGAGGAGAAAGGGAGCTTGGGAAGGCTCGGCATCCCCTTCTGGACGAGCAGGGACACGATAGGGAGGCGGCACGCGGCAGCAAAGCCCGTCAATGGTGGCCACGTCCACGGACAGGTGTCGCCCGTTGAGGCATTTCACCGAGCACGTGGCGGGCAGCGGTGTGGGCAAGGTGGAACGCCGTTTTGGGCCGCTTCCAGGCCGAATTAGACATTGGGCCATAAATGAAGTTTGTTCACCTCGGCCTGCTCTATGTTTCTTATTTAAGGTGACCGGCCATTTGAGCTCTGTAACAGCGGATAATTAAGCTCCAAAATAATAGTGTCAATATGTTAACAGCGATCACGGAAACTCGCTTTCGGAGGTCGAAACTCGATCAAACTTAGTGCAACTTTTTGCATTCTCTTCTCCATAACATAACCTTCAACTTTTATTTTCGGACCAACTCAAGTTGCTTAACGAATTTCGGAGAACGCGGAATGTCAACGTCGTTGCTTAGCGAAACTGACTTAGAATAATTCTAAGTGTTGAAGACTGCAGCAAAATCAATCTTGTGCCCTTTGTTTGTCAAGCTTAGAGATAGATTTAGACTTAGGTCCTTCAATAAAGTTTGTAGTACACAAACTATACTATAACTTTTATTTAAGGTCAAACCTTGTATCTTGAATATAAACCATTCTTTTACTTTGATCAAAGTAGCATCTCGTTAACCCTAGAATTAGAGTTTTCAACCGATTGAGGCCTTTTCTTGATATGTGCTCAACACAAACCCTTCATGACTTTTGTTGTAGAGTTCAATTAAAGTTATTTAGGCAAGGTAGCAAGGTTTGGTTGATGGCCTATAATTCCCTTCACTTACTAGCGCAATTCAAGCAAGAATGTAACTCATCATTTCATGCGACTTCTTGATTCCGAACTTCATGAAACTTTTCCACGGGTCTAGATGGATGCATGTGGATGTAATGTACATGGAATAAGCATGTTTAACATTACTCTTGCATAATCTTAACAAGGGTCCATATGTAAGCAAATGTGCATGGCTCAAGTTTAAGTTGGAGCTCCATCATGTAGATTTGATCTTGACACCTTCATTACCACTCGACATGTCATGTTTGAACTCAAACCCATTGCTTAACTGGTGACAAACACCTGGGGTGTTACACCCTGCTTCTGCATCATTTTATTCTGGACACCTCCTCTCCATTCTCCAGCAGACCAGCATGACGTCGCTTTATATAAACCTCTGCTCGATAACCTCCTCTACACAAGTCCATCACACACCAGCATCTTCAGTTTAATTTATTGTCACGTTTTATCAGGTAACCACATTCCAAATTCCATCGTCCACCGGGCTCCGAACAAACCAACCATCAGAGAGCACCTGCAATGGCGTCCCAAACCAACGAGACCTACCGCGCCGGGGCCGACATCACCCGGGGCGATGCGGCGGCGTGCAAGAAGGCGGCGGCCGAGCTGCTAGCAGAGATCGGCCTCCCGAAGGGCCTGTTCCCTCTGGAAGACATGCAGGAGTTTGGCTACAACCGCGAGGCAGGGTTCATGTGGCTGGTCCAGGGGAAGAAGAAGACGGAGCACACCTTCAAGAAGATCAAGCAGACAGTGTCGTACGCCGGCGAGGTGACGGCGTTCGTGGAGCACGGAAAGCTGAAGAAGATCGCGGGGGTGAAGAGACCAAGGAGCTCGTGCTGTGGCTCAGCGTCGTGGAAGTGTACGTCGACGAGTCCGCTCCCGGCAAGGTCACCTTCAAGACTGGCACTGGGCTGTCTGATTCCTTCGACGCAACTGCGTTTATTTGAGCTTGGAAATGTAAAAGGAAAGGTTGTCTAGCTGCCGACTAAAAGCTGGGTTTAATTTGTCGTTCTTGCATGTTGATCTTATTTCATACTTGCATTCCATCAAAATAAAAATGTTTTCATGTTCGTCAAAATAAAAATGTTTCCATGTTCGTAGTACCAGACTACCAGTTTGCTATTAGCATCCATTATTGTCCTTTCGTTCTCCATGTTCGTAGTACCAGTTTGCCATCAGCATCCATTATTGTCCTTTCCTTCTTCAAGAATTCATATACAAGTAGGGCTGACTAAGCATGCTTGCCTCTATTCTCCTTCCTGTTGCTGTAGTGTTCTTCCGTGTTCCAACCCCGTTTAACACGAACATAGTACATGGCTTTTCATAGTATGGGTTGATAAATACTTCTTTTGATGTCACGATTATACACCTATATGACCTATCAAAAGACGTCACGATTTCACGCCTGCTAACTATATGACACAAAGTACCAAACCTACTTGCATCAAGTCAAGGAACAGTTCTTTATCTGAAATAAAAGAGTCAAGGAACAGCTAAAAGTCTGATGCACGATTCGGAAACACACACAGTCCAGTACTCCAGTCTGCGTAACCGGTACAGCAGAAGCTAAGTTCCTGAAGACGCCAAGACTTCACCAGAATGTAAACACCACAGCTCTGATATCAGTCAATCTAGATTCCAGACTTCCATGATCGGAGTTTTACATGACATGGATCAAAATATAAATTCTGACAAATTGGCCATGTCCAGTGGGTCACCCCAAAACCGATCAGAGATCTCAACAGCACCGAAAACACTGAAGACTGGGCAAACCATCGTGTTTCTTAGTCGGCATCCATCTCCTCAAGAGCTGCCTGAGCAGCAGCTTTGGCCTGCTCCAGCAGTTCATTCGGAACCTGTATGACAAGTAGGCAAAAAAAAAAAAGAGAAGTTTCAGCTTCAAATTCAAATCGAGAAACATACAGAGACCCCTCATTCTTCATGTGAATATCCCAGTACCTTCTGATGCTGGCGGTTTGATTCATCACAGATCCAGCTCAACTCCAACTCAAAAGCTTTGTCCTTTGCTTCGTCATGCACTCCATAAATTCTGCATTTGGGCACATTTTGTCAGAATGTACATTTTGAAGAGCAGTAAGTAGCCTTTTCAGGTTCATTGGCATCAAGTAAGCAGGTAAATATAAAAGAAACTTGGCAATACCTTTAAATATCAAAGTTAAACTTAAAACACCCACAACTTAGCATCACGTGACATAAGATGTTGTAAACTATGCCCCTACTCTAACAAGAGTTGTTTTTAAGACTGTCTATGCCAATAGTTTGCAGTATTATCAAATCTACATTGTAATCATGATATTTCTACAAGCAGTTTTCTACTAATAACACTCCTACCAGCAAACTTTTGATATAAAAACGTCTAGTGTAAAATGAATGTGCTCCCTTATCACTAAACAATGATAACTGCACCCTTCCTAGGCTTTGTATAAATATGAGCAACAGATTTCTTGAATGACATTGAACAATGTGGAACAGTGATTAAAGCCAATTAATCTACAGCAAAAGGAATGCCAGCAACACTGTACTAGACAATAATAACATTCATTCAGGGAAAAAAAAGGAAAACTAAAAAGATTCATTAAGATGCAAACTTGTACTATTATGAGAAAAGAGACTTAGGCATACATCTTTGCAACTTCAACAATGCCTTCCCGGCAGGTAAGCTCTGAAAGTTTCAACTTTTCTATCTCACTGCATGACAACATTGAAAAAGTTCAGAATCATTTTGAGGTCCATCCATAATTAAGATTAAAGAAGTTCACACAGAACCAAAAAAATACAGAGGTGACTTTAACAGTAAATGCAGAAGTATTCGTGTTAACAAGATTATGGAACACAAAAGCTAAAGCCAACAGTTACCTCCATCAGATTATTTTAGAAGTCAATATTTCATTGGAAATAAAGGGGAGGATATACATAAAAACTGAGAGCATGTAAAATGTGGGCTCCCATTATATAAATAAACCTTGCCTATGCTTTAATGGTTAACTCTAATCAATGAATACAAAAAGGAAGCATATGCACAAAGATTATTTAACAATGCAATGGTATAGTCACTATTTGATACAATATGCTAACATTAGCCTGAACATTTTTAACTTCCAATGAAAGAATATATTAGCTATCAAATAATTCATACTATTGAACGGTTTGATATTTGGAGGGTACTACCTTCTCTTTTGCTTTCCTTCTCAGCAAGCTACTTCCTCTAGTCACAAATATGTGACATTTTTTTATTGTCCTAAGTCAACCATTCTAAACTGTGGTTGCATATTACTTTTTATGTGGAGTTTGGGTATTTGAAAATGATATACGTAGATTTGTCTCGAAATGTAGTTTTATAAAAGTATACTTCTGCTATGTTCTATAGCTATTTTGAAAGAATAAGTACTTGTCAAAGGTGTGTTTTGGCATTCCAAGACCATGTCAAGGTCACTTATTTGTGATTGGAAGGAATATCTTGTAACAATACGCGCTTTTACAATAAGGCAATAAAATGTTTATTTGACTATGTTTTATGCATTGGCAACAGAAGAACAAGAAACATAGAGAACATTAAGAACGAAATAAATTGTAAGCTTACGTCTTTGCAGCCTGTCTTCCAATAAAATGTTTATTTGACTATGTTTTATGCATTGGCAACAGAAGAACAAGAAACATAGAGAACATTAAGAACGAAATAAATTGTAAGCTTACGTCTTTGCAGCCTGTCTTCCCTTCCCCAATGCAGCACCAAAATATTTCTGTTCAAGTTTGTAAAGTCAAAAAACATTATGTATTTCAAATTCACAAGACTCCTAAAGTGTAATGCTACTTAAAAACAATGCCATCCATACTGAAAATGAGTGGGCGACTGATGGAAGACATAATTCAAATAAAACTAACACAAAGAGCCTATGCACTCATGTTGATACAACTATGTAATACAGTAACAACTTACATAAGAAACTCCTGAGGGTTCTATCATGTAGAGCTGTGGCCCATCCCTATCATAACCTCCAAGAATAACACCGCAGCCAAAAGGCCTGGTACAACAGAAACCAAGTTAGGGTTGACTACAGTAGCCAAAATAATGTTTGGTGAATACAAGTCATGCCTCAAGTAATTATGGACCATTACTGTTGAATATATTACCTGAGCCACCAGTACAGCGTGCAAAGGTGAACATAACTTGCCACACGATCTGCCAATTCCTTCACAGAAATGGCTTCTCCATAGACCCTAGTCCATTAAAACTTTAGAACATAATCATATAAAAAGATCTCACATCACATGGTCTAAAATACTAGGTGCTTACTTTTCATAACTGGCAGCTTCTGATTTGGTCCTTGAAACAATTTGCCTGCCATCTGCAGCTAAACCAGCAACAGCCTGCAAATGACAATACAAGGAATTTGTGAAAACACACATGATACATAAAAAAAATGGCTAATGGAACATGAACCTTTGCAATAAAAGAAAAGGTATCACCACAAGAAAATTCAAAAGAAAAAAATCTTAATAGGTACAACATCTTTACTAGTAATTTACATCAACAATTGATTATTTAGGAAAACAGGTATTAGAGCATGCTTTTACTATCTTGCTCCTATATTCAATACAGGTTAGAAGACCAAAGCAGAATTTTAGTCCTGCTCCTCTATTTATTCATCAATGACATGATTTGGCATCAAAACCACTATCGATTTTGAGTCACTTGTAAGGCATTACCAAGCCAGAGTGCCGGTGCACTGAATGGATCCTCCGGTTTGACCCTTCCAGCATCATCTTTGAGGTTACCAGCTTCTCAACACCCTAAAAGGGCCAACCACCAAATCAGGACCCAGTGAAGACTTGGGCAACTCAAATAACTTTAGCACTGAACCGAAGGAAAAAAAATTGAGAAGGCCAAATCTTACCAGGACAATGCCATCTTTGCACTTGATCCCAACAACAGTCCTATTCACAAATACCATGGCATCGACAATAACCAATAAGACTACATAGAACAGAGAAAACGGAATAATAAATGAAGCAAAACACAATAGGAAATGGGAGGCAGTGGAATCTAACCCGCTATTGTCAACGGCCTTGGTGGCATACTCGACCTGGAAGACACGACCATCTGGGGAGAAGGTGGTGACAGACAGATCGTAGCCTGTGCCTATGCTGCTCATTGTCAAGTTCTCTTCACCTCTACGCCCCTAGTGAGTAGATCAGTCCTGAAAACTAAATACCAAAACCCCAGTGAGGTAATCCGCACAAAATTCATCAGTAAATAAACATATTATATATTACCATTACACAACACCAAAAATAATAATAATAAAACACCACAGGACAGGGGCGGGCGGTCGCAGCAAAGGACACGGGTGTACACTTAATCCCAATAATTTCAGGGAAAAATCGAAGTTAGTATAGATTTGTAAAAACTTGTAATTAGATCAGATCCGAATACAAATAGCGAAATAGCTTAAGTTAGGGTTTGGACGCCTGGTTTCGCACAGCGAGAACTGGAAGAGAAAGGGTGCCGCATACCTGGTGGTGGGGGGTCGTCTCCGGCGAAGGATGCAACGAGGGCCTGGCGAAGGGACCGACGAAGGCCTGGGCACCTGCCGTCGGGCGTCGGCGTTCGCGCGCACGGGGTGAACTTGGGGAGAAGGAAAGAACGGGGTTATTGGTGAGTAAAGACCATATATAGTCCGGGTCCGGGTCCGGGTCCGGGTTGGGCTCAGATCGAGAGAAAAGAAACGTTACCTTTTTGTTGGCCCACGCCCGACCTGGCCAGTGCGATGGGCTCAAATTGAGGCCCACGCCTGACTCGAAACGTCAGTCTTTTGCCAGGATCCGAATCGAACCGTGATCATGTTTGTTGGGCCTATGTATTCCCGGCCGCCCTGGGCTAACCGAACAACGGAACGAGACCTAAACGGAAGCGGCCGGCGATCCATCATCCCTTGTCTCGTTTTGCGGTGAAAATCGGAGGACGCAGACGCACTGCAGCTGCAGGGTGACGAGGATCATCACGGGAAGTCACCGAAGTTTGAGGCGCTGATGATGAAGACGGAAGTGGAAGAAGAAGAAGCAATCTCTGTTGAAGCGTCGATGAAGACGGAAGGGAAAGAACGCGTCTGTTGTTTTGGGGGACGAGGTATGGGAGAGCGAGGAACCAAAGCCTCGATCGCCGCCAAGAAGGATGGAGATGGAAGTGGGGCAAGTAGACGTGTGGAGGATGCTGGGGCCCGAGGAACCGGAGCTGGAGGAGATGGAACCGGACGACATGCCCCACTGGATGACTGTTAGCCGGTATCGCATTCACTGGAACGAACGGTGGTCTGGCTACTACGATGCATTCGAGGACACCAGCGAGTTTTTCCAGTAATTAATCGTCTTACGCCTGCCTTGTTTAATTTCCTGGTCCTTCAAAAGTAGTCTTGTGTTTTCTGGATAATAGTATATGTATAAGATACTATATATCTGCTCTGCTGACAACTTATTTCCAACAAAATTTGTCAAATTATGCACCACGTGATTTTGCTTTGTGCCGTGTGACCTGGTCGTTGGATTTAGCTTCTCTATATAGTTTGATTATTTGGCTTGTATTGTATCAGAAATAGATGCCTGGGTCTCCAGCATTTTACTGCTCTTCTATTCTGTACTAGTGGTTACTGACAAATTATACTTCAGCACAATGGACTTGGATTGTGTATTCTATATATGTTCAGTAGATTCGATAGATATAAAATTCTGATAGTCATTGTTGCTATTTCAGTATTATTGAGGCTGCTATTGTACTCGATCTTGACCCATTTCAAATATTTTACATCTACTTGCAGCCAGGATCCCTCCCATGCGTTTCACAGACAAAGCTAAAGCTCTGAAGAAGGTTTACGTCCAAAGGGATACTCTACAGGTCTACTCGGTGAAGCTAGCTGCAACAAGAGGGAGCTTACAGCTGCCGTTGGATGTCTTCGGTATGGTTGCTGTGCGCGACCCGGTAGACCACAATCGCAATATTATCTTCCAGCGCAACAGAGATGAATGCCAAACCCTCACCGAAAAGGTTGGAAGCACTTTTTATGCATGGTTCTTTGTTTTAGTTTGTAATAATATGCGGTTGTCCTAACTAACAACTATCATGATTTTTTACTATCTTCCAGCGCAACAGAGATGAATGCCAAACCCTCACCGAAAAGGTTGGAAGCACTTTTTATGCATGGTTCTTTGTTTTAGTTTGTAATAATATGCGGTTGTCCTAACTAACAACTATCATGATTTTTTACCTTTTCCCACTAATATGTCTGCCTAGTTCCATTGCCCAATGAATTTCCTGCCGCTGATATGTTGTGCTTGACATTTTCTGGTGTTCCCGTAAATTTGGTCCAAAAAAGCTGTTTCAGCTTTGTTTGCAAGGGGGTTGGCAGATATAAATATGTAATTTGCAAGTAAGACATCTCTTCAAAATGTAATTTCCTGTTCGGCAGCTCATATTCGGCTTATATGCCTTGACTTATCAGCCAACGAATATATTTTTCTCTCACATTCAAACCAGCCAACAGTACTTTCAGCCATGACTTATAAGCCAATCCAGCCGAAACGAACATGCTGTTGATTGTTTGTGCACCACAAATACCCTATCCTCTGTCACTAATGCGTTATGCTAATAACGCTTGAATTTTGCGACTTACACTGTTTATTTTGATTTGATTTAATTATGCAGCTCAATATTAACCCCTTTGCTACGGTTTCATATTGTGGTGTTGTATATGCAGGATCCATATTTTGTACTGGAAGGTCCTACCCGTGCTGTTATGTTTTCAGATGTATTGTCAGATCCTGTGATCATCGAGGTTGACCTTAAAGTAAAGGGTGCTACTGAGTCTGAGGATGGATACTTGAGCTTTCTAGTTTCTCCATTAACATGCTCTGGCATGCTTTCACATGTGTTTAAATGTGCCTACACTACCAAGCTTAGCAGACTGGAGTTTTCGCTTGGCCACATTGTTTTCTCTGTGGAGGCTACGATATTTGTGAGAGTCATTCGTGGGTCATGGCCAGATGGTTTGCATGGTCTATTTACTGCTTCTACTACCGGTTACAGTGACAGAAGTACCACAGAATATAGCGCTGGTGTTGGCCATGAGAGAATCATCTTACTTGATTCTGGAGGTCAGGAAGTGCCTATTGCTGGTGATGGCAAGATAAAGCTTTCACGGAATGTTATCTCAACACAACATTGTGGAGAGGTGATATTTCAGGTCAAGGCAGGGGCGGACACAGCGTGCGGGGGCTCAAGCCCCCCCTACTTATACCGGAGCAGTGGAACCTCCTGTGGAGCCCCCATGAATTTTTAGGCAAAGTTCTATAGTGTAAGGGGGCTGAGACTTAAGATCGAGCAACAATGTTGTTCAGCCCCACCTAAAATATTTCTTGGATCCGCCGCTGGATCAAGGCACTGGAAGGTGACATCAAAGTTGTGGAAAAAGATGCCATTTTTCACCCTTTCGAAGCTAGTAAAAGTATCAGTGAGCTTGAGATTGGGTTCTGTAAAATGGAAGTCACTGTTTTTTGGTCGCGTGTTTCATGCAATCCTTAGGTGAAGAATGAAAGTTGTGATTCCATACTACCTGTCGATGCGAAATGTGGCCAACAAGTAAATATTTATAGTTTTGCCATGCGTTGTGATCGGATGTGGCCTAGCACGCGATGTCACATGATTTATACCGGTTCAGGCAACGGGCCCTACGTCCAGTTGAGGTTGGTTGGTGACTTTATTCCTGAGCCCAGGTGCTCGAAGTTTACTGTGAGGTTACAAACGAGTAAGGAATGAGAAGGGAGTGTTAGATGCTCGGTTGGACTCTTAACCGAGTGACCGAGAGTGATGGATGCTCAGACGTGCGCTAAGTATTGTAGCGTATGCTCTGTGTGTCCGTGCTTATCAACTGTTGAGAGCGTGTAGACTATGTAGCTGTCGAGCTTTAGAGCTGTTTTGTTGTCGTCTCCTCGAGTCGTCTTGTCGTCGGGAGAGAGCGCATTCCCTTTTATAGTTGAAGGGGATGGCCTTACAAGTCAGAGAAAAAGAGAGAGAGTATACGAAGCGCTGCCTAGTCTTGTTGCCCACGCTATCGGGTACGGGATGGCCGCCGTCGCTCGCCATACTATTTACGCCGCCATCGCCCACACCTACTGTTCATGCTCTGACGTGTCTGGCAGGTTGTATAGTGTTCGTCTGGTACGGCAAACTTCGGCGCCCACATTACTATTCATGCTCTGACGCGTCTGGCAGGTTGTACAGTGTTCGTCTGACATGGCCCGACGGCACTATCCTGTAGGTGCGCAGGGCATGGCAGGGTATGGTCCTCGGTATTACGGTTGACTTGAGCACCTTACCTTATCTGCTCCGCCTGCTCCCCGGGCCCACACCGAGCGGGCGTCCCCGGTTGGTCGTTCCTAGTTCGGGCCCGACCGTGTCGATCGGGAAAGAGCGAGCGAGCAGAGACCCAACGTATCCTCGATCGGAGAAAGGGGGTCGAAGTCAAACTGCGGTCCCACTACGGCCAGGCCTTCCGGTCGGGGCTCCGACCAGATCTCCTGGCTGGAGGTGCCGGTCGGGGACCGGATCGTGGTCTTGACCTGTCACTGTGTATCTAGGCCGACCCAGGCGCGTGATGTCGCTGCGCCGCCTGCTGGGCCGAGTTTTGTAGGGAAGCGGGTCCATTGGGGACCCTAGGTTTATGAACCCGACTAGAACCTCCGAGCCCCTTTGGGGCTTCTGTGAAGCCGTGAAGGGGCTGTTCACACACGCTTTGCGTGATATTGTAAAAGGCAGGGGCTTGTGATTTTAGCTTAATGAAAGCTTGTATTTATTTTGTAATTCATGTGCCCATTGTGTCGTGGAGGCGGGTTGTTATTGAAACTTCGGTGTTTTTTCCCCTTGATTTATTATACTGCGTAGGGTAACCGAGTAGGATTTAGGGCGCCAACCTCCATGTGGAGGACTGCAAAAGGCCGCGGAGGCGCACAAAGCGGATATGGGCGCCCAGCCCTGTGGGGAGGACTAGCGAAGGCCGCGGAGGCACGTCGGAGGGATATTGGCACCCAGCCCGAGGAGGGGACTGGCGAAGGCCGCGGAGGCACGCCGTGCAGACATAGGCGCCCAACCCCTGAGGAGGAGACT